TTTCTTTTAAATTATAACGATTTCTTTTCACATCAAATGCTAATTGGTAAAAATATAAATCTAATAAATCTTAATCATTCTCTTCAAATTCAATATATTATTTAATTCTTAAATAAATATCAAATCTTTTATTAAGCTTATAAACATTATTGTTTACTTCCTCATGAAATTCTAATTTATTTAAAATATCAAAAAAATTTGCAGATTCATCTATATATGAAGTATTGAAAACACTTTCATTTTTAGATTAAACAATCATTAATCCAAAATATTTCCAATTATTCTATTAATTGATAACATTACAAGCTTATTTAATTACTTATTATACACTGAAATGATGTTCTAATTCCACCCATAATGGAGTATCACTATGAATCATCAATTTCACTATTGGCTGTTTACATTCAAACATTAATTATAATTCATCTTTTGATGGCAAATAAACCCTCTGACAAAGTTGTGTTTTTATTTCATCTTTAAATACTTTCACTTAAGTATTTATAGATAAATTTTTAATTATTTATTTAGAATATTTACAAATGTCTGGTTCTTTGAAAAGCTTATTTTCTGGTTTTTATAATTATTCATTTAGATATTAAATAAAAGGTAATGGATGTATTAATGGTATACAATGAGTGATTACTATGCATAATCTTAATAAATAATAAATATGTTCTTTTGTGTTACCCTCAATTTATTTGAATATTTATAAAAATATTTCTTCACGAATTTCTTAATTATTTTCAAATTGAACTTCATCATTAAATTATCTACTAGTTGTTTCAAGTTCTATTGATTTTTTTAATGCATCTATATCAAGAGCAACTGATCGTTATAAACTCTTAGGAGCTGTAGGTAGTTCAATTTATGCTGTTGTACCAATTAAACTACATAATATTCTCTCTAAATGTTCTTTTGTAGTTAGACTTGATCGTTTCATATGAGCAAATTTGGTAATGCTTTTAAAAACATTTAAAGCAACACCTTCATTTTATATTTTAGTAAGAGGTTTCTTAATATTATCAGTTTGACATTTCATAATTTTTTCAATTTAATGTCCTTATTGATTAACTACCTATTAACAATAATCTTTAAATAAATTATTTTATAATATTTAAGGTAATTAATCATCATATTCTAAATTTAAATTTTTATCAAGAGTAGACCTTATATCTAATATTTTTTTATTTTATTAAGCTTTTTCATAAATTACAAAATTTGATGGATGAGGATTATCAATTAGATTTTAAATCACAAATTATTTATGTATATCATATTTTTGATGTTTTCTCTTTTCTTCTTCTAATTATTATTTTTAATATTAATTTTCCTCTTCTTCTATTTATTTTTAAATCTATTATTAATAATTTATAAATTTATCATATTCCTATATAGTTAATAGTTTCGGAGTTTATCCAAAATATATTTTAAATCCATTTTCTTCAATTTAATTTAAATATTTCCTTTAATTCTACTTTTCAATTACATATTATTCTTTATTCTCTAATGCCTCATATGCACAATAATCTGAAATATCATCAATCTTCATTTCAGTATATTTCAATTTAGAATCATCACTTAGCAATTCATATGACTCCAGATCAGAATGCTTAGAATTAGATTTTAATTTTTATTTCATAATTCTTCTATGAATTTACTTTTATTCATTATCTAATAAAGAATAAGCATCATTTTTATATTCCTTTAATTAATCTTCATCTAAAAGAAGAAATGCTTCATAATCAGAAAAATCAACTTTATTAAACTCTAACTTATCCTTTTCATATCTACTTAATTTTTATTATAATAATTCTTATTTATCTTTATAACTCTTAATTTCTTCCCATGGATAAACAATTAATTCTTATAAATGTTAATTCATAACATTTTTATCCTTTAATAATGAATAAGCTAATGAAATATTTTTGTATACTGTATCTTTATTTTATAAAAGCCTATAAGCCACACTTGCTTTTGGATGTAAATAATTCTCAAACAAAATAGGATTTAATATATTCTTCTTTTTCTTTTTCATCTATTCTGCATTTTTTCTTTAGTTTTTTTTCTCTATTGATAAATTTTAGAATGCTATTGATTCAATATTAATTATTCCTTCATGACCTTTTAATTCTAATAACTATTATTTTCTAATATTCCATTATTCATCATTTAAAAGACGAAATGCATTTGAATCTAAGAGTTCATACCTTATCAAATTCAATTGATCTAATCTTTATTATGCTCTAAATCTTTATTATTTTAACATCTCATATTTTTCTGGATTTGCTAGTCCTTTAGAAATATTATTTAATCCTTCTTTTTTTTGATTAATATATTCATTCACATCAGATATAGATAAATATGCTTCAATATCAGATATATCTTTAAATAAAGTAAGTTTTTCTTTATATTTTAAATATTAATCTTTATTTTCAAGTAAATTAAAAGATTCAGGATCAGAAATATCAATATCATATCCATATTTAACTTTATTTGATACTATTCTTAAAGGTAAATTTTCTTATTTTTATTAAACATAAGTTTTTCTTTATTCTAATTCTAATAATTCAAAAGATTCATTATCAGAAAGATAATCATCTATTAAAAATTATTTTTTCTACATTTATCTAGGTCTTTAATTTATTAAAATTTTTATTCTATTAATCTATTATTATTCATTTAATAAAGATTAAGCAACATTTTATTTATTTTCTAATTTTTATCTTTTATATTCATTTTACTATCCTGTTGTCAATTATTTATATGCCTCTATATCACTCAAGTATGGTTCCAATTATGAATATATTTTCTCTTATAAATCATTCATTTTCTTTAATCTTCTTTATTATTTTATTTAATGTTATTAATTTTAATCTAATAAATTAAAAGCAATTTATGTTTATTCTTACTTTTTCAAATTTAAATATTATAATTTTTACTCAAAAGTCAATAAAGAAAATGATTCTTGATCTGAAACTTCATTTTCAATAGCATCAAGTTCTTTCAATTATTATTCAAGTTTATTCTTTTGTATATTGTTTTCTCTTTATATTTGTTATTCTTAGTTTAATAATTAAAATGCTGTATTTTAGATCTCTTCATATACTGTTCCATCTAACATATTTTGTTGTTTTAATTATAAATGATTTACTTTTTTCTTTTTATATTATTATAATTAATCTTCATTTAATAATTAATAGGAATCAAGATCAGAAATCTCTATCATATTTTCCCATTAAATTTCTTAGCTAATATTTTAATTTTAATTTTCTGTTTATTGTTATTTTAAATCTTATTTTTAATTTGTCCCCTAATCAATAGATTTAATTCTTTTAACACATGATAATATTGCCATTTTGAATTATCTTACTCTAAAAGCTTTTTAAATTATTTTTGCAAATGCATTTAATTTCTTGTTATGTGAACATAATAATTTATTAATATTTTCATAAGCTTCCTTTTTGAAATAGACTTAATTCTATCCAAATAATAGTCCTTTAGATTAAATTAACCTTTTAGATATTTCTCTTACTAATGCCTTCATATCTTGATTACTATTTAAATGCTTTTATAATGTTATTTTTCTATTAAATACATCTAAATGATGAAATCTTTAATAAAATTCATTATAAGTCATTCTATGAGGATAACTTTATTAATAAAATTTTATAGAATCAAGAATTCTATATTATTTTAAGTCTTATCTTTCTTTAATACATCTAATATATAATAATTGAATGTCTTTTGAAACGATAATACTATTTAATTTAATTAAATTTTAAGGTATTTCATTCTATTATTCTAGATTCTCCAAATAATTTTTATTATCTTCATATTATATTTAATTATATAATTCTGTTAATTAATCTTACATTAATAATTGTTAACAATTCTTAAAAGTATTTTAAAGATAAATCTATTCAATCTATTCTGATATATAATTAGAAATTAGATTAGTCTATCCTGGATAGTCTAAAATACTTATCATCAATATATTATCATTTAAACATGTTAAACCATTTATAATATCAATAATTTACTATACAAACTTTTAGTATTATTATCCATTTTCAATTTACTATTCAATTAATACTTTTTATATTTCTTAATTAGGTAAATTCTCCCATTTTTATTAAAAATATTACATATTCTCATAATCAGAGATATCAATGTAATGTAATTAAACAATAAATCCAACTAATTATTTTTATTTATAAATAAATCTATAATTTACTACTCCTTAAGTATGATCATCTTTTTTGGTGATTAAAGATTTGATTAAATTATAATAGACCATATAATCCTTATTTAAAAAGCTTACAAGATCAGTTATAATTTATGTTTTTCCATATCCTTAATTTCCAGTAATAAATACTTGTGAACTTTTTCCTAAATCCAAATTTATATATGCATAAAATAGAGAAGAGAATATATGTGGAGGTACTTGATTAATAATCAACCTTTCATCAATATATTTTTTATATTGAATATAATCAGCAAGAGATGTATTGACACTTTAGATTAGAACTTATCTATCAAGATAAACGTTATTTTTGATTTTAAATAGAATTTCAGGTTCATTTAGATAAGGCAATTCTGTTAAATCAATTGTTTTGTTATTACTGGCTCTATGAACTTAATTTACAGGAATATCACAAATTTTATCATCTGGCAATAGGATTCTAGCTTCACTTCTTTAGTTTAGCAATTTTTATATATTCCCTCTTTAATAATTACCTTCAATGAACACCCAACAAGGAGTGCCATTAATCATCCAAGCTGTGTTAATATACATTTCTAAATATGAATAATAAATAAAAATGAAATGATACTTTTGTTTTATATTAATTTAATCATAATACATCAGATAAATTGAAGATATCTATTGATTCAGAATAGAATTATACAATTATATTGTAAATTTAATAGATGTGATTAGAAATGAAAAATTATATTATAAATTATACATTAAATAATTATAATGTAAAAATAATTTAATTATGATTCTAAATTTATTAAATGAAACAATTGGTGGATTATAAGTTTTATTAAGACATAAAGAAATTTATACTGCATTAGTTCATACAAATTAACCAATTGACACACCTATAGAAGAATTAGATACCTAGATAATAAAAATGGTTGAAGAAACTCCTAAATTTCCTATAGACTTTGAGATGTTTAGCTTTACAAAAACATTTTGTGATGCAGAATTTATAACTGGAAATTAAATCATGTAATTTGAAGATACTATGTGGCCTGAATTTTATAGAAGTAAAAAAGACTTTTAAGAGATTAAAAAATAAGAAAATTTGATTAGAAAAAATTTTGTAATTTCAAAAAAACTATCTCCACTTTAAATACATACACATCCATTTTTTAAATAGCCTCATTACACTAATTTTATTACAACAAATCCAAATATTTAAGAATCAAAAAGTGAAGATTTTGGAGTTCATAATAAAATAGTACCAGCATTCTCAAACTTCTATGATGCAGCATAATATTTTAGAACTCTGATTAAATAAGAAGATAGAGTTTACTATGATGTTGGTCCTTAATGTTTACATTAAGTACTAGATTTACTTGATCTTTATATTATTACTATATATTCTGGTTAATTAGATGACAAATTTAAAGTAGGAAAAATGCCAAATTTTGACATTATTTTTAAAAAATTTAAGCTTACTTATAAGTCTTAAGTCTATCCTTAACATAAAGGGCATATGTAGTTTCTAGTTTTTGAAAAATGATTATTGATTATTTATATTAATTGGTAAAAAAGTAATAAATTATTTACGTTAACCATATATTACATAAAATAGTTAATATTATTATTTTATGTAAATTGTTTGATTCTGTTTATTCATAAGAATTAATATAAAATTAAGATTATATTTTATTTAAGTTGTCTTTTGAAAATTAATCTTAGATTTAATTCTTCAAGGATGAAGTTTGAAATTCAACTTCTGACAAAATTTCAGAATTTTTATTGGTTATGATTTAATTTAATAATTTATATAATTATCTGACAATAAAACAAAGATAATATAACAATGTCTGTACAATCTAGAAATATCAAAGCAAGTATTTATTGTGTATAAATTAGATCAATTAAACTCATCTTATCAAGGTCCTCCTGGACCTGCTAGTTATCATCCACAATTAGATTCTTCATTTACGAAACCCCCAAAATGGACTATTAGAGGAGGGAATTCTAGAGAAATTCCAGTATAATAAAGCCTTCCAGGACCTGGACAATACCATCCTAAATTACCACAAACATAAAAGAAAACCCTCATACATGGAAAGTCATATTAGTTTGATAAAGAATAGACAAATAAACCAGGACCAGGAGCTTATTAAATAGAAGTTTCTTAACTATCAAAGATTGGATTTAAAATTGGAAGTGAAAAACGATATAAAGAAGATTAAAAAAGATGCCCTGGACCTGGAGACTATGAAATAATCTCTAAATCTAATGTGCCATCTTTTAAAGTTGGTAAGTAATCTCGATCAGAGAAGAAAGTGAATAATAATGTAGGGCCAGGATAATATAATATTCCTTCTTTAATGAAAACTGATGCTGGTTTTAAAATAGTTCCAAGAAGAGAAAAAACTATACAGAACATTACTCCAGGTCCAAATGCATATGAAATTTAATCATAAGAAAGAGTAAAATCTTTTAAGATTGGAACAAGTAAGAGAGATGGAATATTTAATAAATCAATCTCACCTGGTCCTGGTGATTATTCAATAGAGGTTATAAAAGAATAAGCAGGATATTCAATAGGCAGAAGTTAACGATCAGATAAGAAGATAGATTCTATTCCAGGTCCAGGCTATTATAAATTAGTTAAGCCTAGTAATGCACCAAAATACTCAATATATTAGAGATATAAAGAAAAATCAGATATAATTGGTCCAGGGCCATAATCATATACTATAGGAGATTTTAAGGATACTAAGACGGTCATATTTGGTCATGCAAAACGTGATAGTTATAGTAAATTAACAGTTCCAGTAAATTTAATATAAATAAACTTAGGGACCAGGTGAATATGAGACAGATATAAAATAAAGAAAGCCACATGTGAGTATAATCTTTGGTAGAGAAAAGAGATCATAGAGTTGTTCAGATCACACTTAAATACCAGGTCCAGGATAATATGAAATATCAACTACTTTTTATGTTAAAAAAAAATGAAATTTATTTAGATTATTTAGTAATTGATATATTTGTATTTAATTTAATAATTATAATGACTATATATTCATTCAGATAACTAATTTCTTATTCCATCTTAAGGGTTAGTTGAAACTATTTAAAATAAAAGTATTTCTTTTTTTTATAAAATGAATAAATTCCATATTTTCAATTCATAAGGATTTTATTAATTCTATACTATGATTCATTAGATTAAGTTTATTATTATTATTGAATAATGATAAGTTTTTTTTATTGAGAATAGAGTATTGTTTATTTTTAATAAATATAAAGATTATGATAAATAGATAATCTCATCTATTTTTACGATTAACATCTTCTCCAAAGTTTTATCACGGTGGTTTGAAAGATTAGGATAGAATATTTACAAATGTTTATCGTGATGGAGATCCTTATATTCAAGGTGCTTTGAAAAGAGTATAATAATGAATTAATTTTAGGGAGATTGGCATAGAACAAAAGATATACTGACAATGGGTTAAGATTGGATTATTGATGAAATTAAAAAGAGTGGTTTAAGAGGTAGAGGAGGTGCAGGATTTCCTAGTGGTTTGAAGTATTCATTTATGCCAAAAGTTAATCCAGATGGAAGGTAAATATAGTAGTATATTCAAAGACCATCTTATTTGGTGATAAATGCAGATGAATCTGAACCAGGAACATGTAAAGACAGAGAAATATTAAGACATGATCCTCATAAATTAGTTGAGGGTGCATTATGTGTAGGATTTGCTATGAGAGCAAGAGCTGCATATATATATTGTAGAGGAGAATTTTGGGTTGAAGCTAATGCCTTACAATAAGCAGTCGATGAGGCTTATAAAAAGGGATTCTTGGGAAAGAATGCTTGTGGAAGTGGATATGATTTTGATGTTTATGTTCATAGTGGAGCAGGTGCATATATTTGTGGTGAAGAAACAGTATAATATAAAGTAATCTTAAGGGTTTAATTGAATCCTTAGAAGGAAAACCAGGTAAACCAAGACTTAAACCACCTTTCCCAGCAAATGCAGGTTTATGGGGTTGTCCTACTACTGTAACTAATGTTGAAACTGTTTCAGTTTGTCCAACTATTCTTAGAAGAGGAGCAAATTGGTTTGCTTCATTTGGAAGACCCAATAATAGAGGCACAAAATTATTTTGTATTTCTGGTCATGTCAACAATCCTTGTACTGTTGAAGAAGAAATGTCAATACCACTTAAAGAATTAATTGAAAGACATTGTGGAGGTGTTAGAGGAGGATGGGATAATCTTAAATGTATAATTCCTGGAGGTTCATCTGTACCTATGTTACCTAAAGAAATATGTGAAACTGTATTAATGGATTTTGATGCATTAAGAGATGTAAGATCAGGATTAGGAACTGCTGCTGTTATTGTTATAGATAAATCAACTGATATAATTGATGCCATTTTAAGATTAAGTAAATTTTATAAACATGAATCATGTGGATAATGTACTCCTTGTAGAGAAGGAACTTCATGGTTGGTTGATTTATTGGAAAGAATGAAAGTTGGGAATGCTGATTTTGCTGAAATTGATTAATTAGAAGTAATTATTTCTGGATTATTAAAAGGAATTAACATATTAAATTGAAGGTCATACTATATGTGCACTTGGAGATGCTGCTGCATGGCCTGTTTAAGGATTAATAAGATCATATAGAGAAGAAATAGAAGAAAGAATTGAGGATTATCATTCAAAACATCCTGTTAAATCTAGATAATTACGTAGTCATCCATAATAATCAAGTCATTGATTTATTCATAAAATTCAATATAAAATTTGTTAGTTTTCTTTAATTTTTACAAATATAATAATAATAATTAGAATGAAAAAGCAACAAACTAATAGTCAAAATAGTTCTGTTGGTTTCAATAGAACTTAAGTATTTGAGTAAAAGGCTGAACAATCTAATCCTTTTGAAAAAACACTTAAATCAATGAATACAGATAGAAAGGCTTTGATTTAAAATTTTTTAGGTAATTAGTTCAATTAATAAAGATGCAAATGCAAATTCAAATTTGGAGTAACATCCACATAATTAAAGGGTCTTTACAAAAACAATTACTGTAGAAGCAAAGGTAGATGAAATAAAATTTGATAACATTCCAGGAGTGTTATAACAGAAAAAATTTAATTATGGTAATGTGTACAATGAAAGATCTAAAAAAAATCCATATGTTATCATCTAATCTTTGGTTAGACGATTCTTAGCGAAGAAGTTAGTCAATGAAAGAAAGAAATATTTTTAGAAATTACTCAAAGAAGATTAAAAAATTACTATTGTAGATAAATGGGTAAATGATGAAAAAAATTGGGCATAATCTGTTATTTCTAAGCTTAAAGTTTAACCAAAATAAAAAAATTAAGAAAGAAAAACTATTTCTGGTTTGGATAAAAACAATCCATTTTATAACACATAAATTGAAATAATGGGCGAAATGGGAGTATTAGAAAAAGAAGATTTTATAGAAATTAATCCAGCAACTGCATTTGCTAATCCAGCTATTCCTATTACAGAAGATATCAAAATTAAAAAACCTCCTCTAACTAGAATTAGACCTAAATCTGCTTATTAGAGCTAGGTTAAACCTAAAACTATGCCAATTTAATTACCTAATGATAATTGTTAAATTTGGAAAGCATTATATAAAAAAAAATATGGAAGAGAGAGTTTACATGATCTATCAATGAAAGAAATTAAAATTACAGATGATTATATTAAAATAGAGAATTAAGAAGCTGTTAGAGATAAGGCTAGAATTAATAAAATAAATAAAATTTTAGAAAAAGAAGTACCAAAAGAACTCAAAGTTTAGAAATAAAAATAAACAACATCTAAAAAGAAATAATTAGAAGATAGTATTGAAGATGAAGTTTAAAGTGAATAAGTTTAATCAGAAATAGCTGATGAAGTAGAAGAAGAAATTCCAGAAGAAGAAGATATAGAGGAAGCAGTTGAAGAAGAAGGAGTTGTAGAAGAAATTGATGATATATAATCATCTTAAATAAAGGAAGAATCTATAGTCTAAGAATCTTCTGTAATTAGAGAATCTATTCCATCAGCCTAAAAAAGTTCAAAAATCATTAAGGAATCTATTCAAGAGGATTATGGTGATGATTTTGAAGTTGAGGAATCACAAAAAATAAAGACTCAATAATCTTAATATGAAGATGATTAATTTGATTCATATCATAGTCAAATTGAAGGTGATACACATAGAAGGAAGGCTACTCCAAAATCAATAAGTGACAAAGCTGTAATCTCACCTTAAACATTTGTACCTGAAGTTAAATCAATCCCTATTGAAATTGATCCTGGATGGACTACTAAAAGAGCTAATTAAGAGGCTGAAATATTACTTAAAAATTATAGAGAGAAGTATTCATAATTAAGAGAAGTAGAAATTAATGATGAAGATTTTGAGCCACTCAAATAGGAACATAGAGATTTAAAATTCATTCAATAATAAGTTAATAATTTAATTTCTCATACAGGTGACTTCTATAAAGGTTGGAAAGATGCTGTTAATCCTCAACCAAGTTAATCAGCTGATAAATTATATGCTTAATTCTAATATGAATTTTAAAGACTTTTATCAATGAATAGTTTAGGAACAAGATTCAGCAAAATATTATCATAAACAATAGTTAAAGATGTTCCTGTAGGCAATGTTAAAAATATTATGAGTGGTATAGAATAATAAATGTCAATTGTTTAACAAGTCTTAGAAAATCTATTATTTTAAGTATAATAAATCTTTGATTTCAAATAAACAATGGAAGAAATGAGATTATATAGAAAAGAAATGGATTAAAAATTATAATGGTTATTATTTAAATAAGATAAATTAATAAATAATTAATTAGGAAAATAATTAGAAGAAAGAGATAAAGATTTAAAAAAATTCATTGCAGCATTATTTGAAAAATAAAGATTAGAATTTGGATCAAGGAAATTGGCAGCAACAGTTGATCCTCATTCATTATCAGAAGCACTTTTAAAAAATTAAGGTTTACTTTCTTATAAATTTGAATAATCTGCATAATCTAAAAAGGATTCAAGTTATGGTAAACAAAGAGATAAAAGAAGTGCAAAGGAAGAATCATATTATTAAGCAGATTTTGAAGGTGAAGAATCTGAAAGGATTAAGACTGAAAAGTCAGATTAAAATATTTATGAATAATCATATAAAAACAGTCTAACAGAAGATAGAGAAGTAGAAGATGGATCATAATAATCAGATATAGATTGGTAAACAGATATTAATTTATTTGAAAATACTTAAAATTCTTTTGTTGATAAGAAAGATTTAGATGTTTAATAGATTGTAGAGTACCTTTAAGAATAATTATTAAAGGAAATTTTAGGAGATCCATTTCCAATTAGAGGTTAATTACAAAATTCTCAAGTTAAAAATGAATCAAATATATCATCATAATATAGTCAATCATTTGAGGAGGAATCCTTATCAGCATCTAAAGAAATAGTTCCTGAACCAAAATAACCTCCTCCTCTTGCAGTAAAGCCAATATAAACAAAAGAAAAAGTAGATGATTTTGGAATGGGAAAGTCTGCCATCAATAGAGATGAGCTTTCAAAAGAATTTGATCTAAGTGAAAATTCTTAGTTTCTTGAAAAATCTGAAAATAAAGAGGAAGGTAAAGAAGTTAAGTTGGTTACAGATTTTAGATATTAAAATTTTGTAAAATAAATACTTGATAAGTATGGTAAAGTATTAGAAGGAAAGGAAAAATAAATAATAACAAAATTCTAATAAATTGTTAAGAAATACAAATAAGATAAAAAAAAAGCTTTAGGGTATTTATTTTCAACAGAATTTAAATTTATTGATTAAAAATAGGTTAATGAATAGAATGCATTCTAAATAGTGTAATCTTTAGAGGAACAATTATGTGAATAACTTTTAAAAGAATATAATGATGTAAATATATTTTTTAAATTAAAATGTTAGGGTTCAAAATTAGATATCAAAAGTGCAATAGAATAAGCAAAGGTTCTTGTCCTTAAAATAACAGAAAAAAGAATACCAGTAGATGCTTTTAGTTCATCATACAATTTTTAGGAAATTTATAATCATGCTTAAAGAAAACCACCTGCAAAAGAATGTCCAATTAATTAAGAATTGGCTGATGTTTACATCAATGAGGAAATGGATAAATTTGGAAATGAAGTAAATATATAAAATAATTATTTATTAGGCTACTCAATACATTCTAAAACAAATAGCTAAAAATACATTGGCAGACTTTGATAAAATTCTATTAAAAAAAAAGAAGTGAAGCCTATTTTTTAAATTAGAATTTTCATAATAATTTGTATATTACTTCTTATTATTATAATATTCTAATTTATGTAATTAATTTTTTGTAATTAAATAATAAAGACTTGTATGTCTTTAGAGATTAAAGAATATAATATATAGATGTAAATTATTTCATTTAGAATATGAATACCGTTTTTAAATTATTAATGTTATAATATATATTAAATGAAAAAAGAATAACATTAATAAAGGAGAGACACTACACTAATACAATTATTAGTATTATTGGGTGCTTGCTTTACTATGGGCATAGTTTTGTTCAAAGTTATAGGTTTGCATGGAGCTTAAAATGATTTATCATTTGAATAGACTTCATTAATTTAAGAATAAACATACTTAGAGTAATAAATAAAAGCATTGCAAAATTCATTAACTTAACCTAGTTTTTTAGAAATCAGAATGAGTGTGAATAAAAAATAGCATAAATAAAAAATACATTAATCTGAACATAAACATATTGAAATATCAAAACCAACTGTAGACAAAAAGGAATATGAATATTTAGAATTACCTAATAAATTGAAAGTCTTATTAATAAGAGATCCAGAAACTAAATTAACATAAGCAGCATTGAATGTTAATGCAGGATCATGGCATGAACCAGATGAATTTCCAGGTTTAGCTCACTTTTTAGAACATATGTTATTTTAAGGTTCACATACTTATCCAGAAACAAGTTTTTTTGAATAATTGGTGGCAAAAGGAGGAGGTTATACAAATGCATACACTGAAGGAACTAGAACCAATTATTATTTTACAATAGATACAAGTAGAACAAGTGAGGCTTTAAATGTATTTGCACACTTTTTTATAGATCCTCTTTTATCATAAGAAATGGTCTAAAAGGAAGCTAATGCAGTTAATTCTGAGTATGAAATAAATGTAGCAGGAGATGGATGGAAAATATTGCATTTAATGAGTTTAATGTCAGATCCTAAACATCCTATGAGTAGATTTACAATTGGTAATTTATAATCATTACTTAAACCTCATGTTGTTGAAGCCTTAAAAAAGTTTCATGAATAATATTATTCATCTAATTAAATGGCATTAGTAATTAAAAGTTCATAACCTATTGAAATGATGAAAGAATTTATTGAATCAAGTGAATTCTTAAAAATTCCAAATTTGTAAATAGAAAAACCATCATTGGCTCATTTTGGATTGCCAATAAAAGATGTTGCAAAATTAGTAAAATATCATATCAATACAAGAGCAACAACAGTAATTTACTTTTATCAATTAGAAGATAGTACAAAATATTTTGAAACTAAACCTATTCAATTTATTAATTCAATAGTAAGATCAAGACATGATGGAGGATTATATAATTACTTAATAAGTAAGAATCTCATTGTTGATATGGATGCTTAACCATTTTTAGGTAATAATGGTTGTTTTTAATTTTATTTGATTGAAGTTGAATTAAGTGAAACTTTGATTGGTCAATAAAAAGATTATGCTTTATAAATAGGATAAGCTATAATATCATATTTTGAAGAATAAATTCATAAATTTTATGATGAAGAATAAAATCCTACAGATTTTTTAGAAGAAACTTATAAAACAAAGAAAGCTATGTCAGATGTTTAATTTAAATTTTTGGAAAAAGATATAGATATATTTAAATTATCACATAATCTAAATACATTTCCACCAAAATATGTATTAAATGCAGAAACTAGTTATTTTAAATATGATCCTTAATGTATTTATAATTATTTAGCTGATCTTATGAATCCTAATAATATGTTAATTATGATTGGAGATGATGGATATAAATTAGTTTAAGAGGAAATTGAAAGTGAAGAATTAAAGGCATCCTTTTTAGCATTTTAATAACCATCAACATTATTATTATAATAGAATGCAGCTATTAGTGATATAGATTTTATCAAATAAAGTGAACTACAATTTTCCAATGATCTTTATCATATATAATATGATGTTAAACCATTAGATAGAGACAGTTTGGATTTTATGATGCTTGATAATATTCCATTAACTTTACCATAAATTAATCATTATGTTCCAGTTAATTTAGCTTTTAAGTCTCTTTGTGATTAATAACATATTTCATATATTTAATCAGTTGATTCTAATACTTTATATGATAGAAAGAATAGATAGAATATCTTTATAGAGAATACTCATAAAATGCCATTCTATTTCACATCAAAGAAGGAATGTTAAGAACATGAATTTGAATATGAGTAATATAATCATTTTCCATAATTAATTAAGAAAGATATAGAAGGTAAAACATGGTGGAGATTGGATAGATCATATAGTCCAACTGTTTATGCAGGAATGAATTTTGAAACTGCTTTAGATATGAAATCTTTAAAGAAAGTGGCATTATTAACAGTATTTAATAGTTATGTATCTGATAATTTATATAAATCACTTTAATAATCATTTGAAGCTGGTTATGAATTATCTTTTGATTCATCTATGAAAGGTTTATCACTTGAAATGTATGGATGGAGTGATAAATTTGAATATTTTTATAAAAATGTATTAAGAGAAATTAAGAATGAAATTAGTGATGATGATCTATTGAATAGAGTGAAATTAAGTTAAATAACTGAATTAAGTAATTCATTTGAATAGAAATTATTCATCTAAGCCACTTCTATTATATTACCTACAATAATTCAAGGTTAACCAACCCCTTCTTAAATGATAGATGAAATTAATTCAGTTACTAAAGATGAATTAGCTTAATTTTAGAAAGAAATGTTAGAGAATTTCAGATTTACAACTTATTTTACAGGTAATATATTGAGAGATGAAGTATAATCATTATAAAATCAAATTCCAAAAATATTTGATGAATCTACTTCACATATAAGAATTCAAAATCATATTACTTAAGTATCAGATTTAAGTCGTAAATCTATAGTATATTCATTGGTTTCGAAATCTACAAATTAATTAGATACAAATGGTGTTACTCTGAATTATTATTAAATTGGGTACAGAGATTAGAAACAATTAGCTATGATGAATTTATTATATAAGATTCTCCATAATGCAGCATATGCCTATCTACGTACACAATTATAATTAGGTTATGTTGTAAGTGTCAAATTCAAACCTGTTGGTTGTTTGGATAGTGCTTAAATTTTGGTTTAAGGAACAGCAAAACCTCCTTATGTTGTTAATTAACATATAGAAGAATTCTTGATTAATTATGGAAGAGAATTGAAAGAGATGACAGATTAATAATTTGAAGAATTAAAAACTACAACTGTAATATACTCTATAATAATTTTTAGATATCTGGATTGAAGGAAGTTGAGAAGAATTTAAAAGAAAAGGCTAGAAATACTTGGTCACATATTAAGAATAATGATTTGGCATTTGAAGAAAAAGAAATTGCTGCATAATATATCAATATGGTTACTAAATAAGATCTATTTTCTTTTTATGATAAGGTATTCACTTCTGGAAAGTTATCCCTTTAAGTTTATGGATAAGGTATGATAACTTAAACAATGGGAATAAGTGTTAATGATTTAGCTAATAAAGTGAAGAGCAATTCACTATCCAAAGAATAAACATTTGCTGTCAGAGATGAAGTCACAGTTTCTACCTCTGATGATTTCAAGCAAAAAATCACTTCAAATTATAATTGCAATTACAAAATTAGTAATATTTGAAAATTATGGATAATCAAAATTATTCAATATAAAATTTGAACTTTTTTATATATGTTAAATTAATTCGCAGTTGAATTGCTTAGAGATTTGAATTGTGTAAGAGGAAACCCTCTTTATTTTGATACTAGTCTCATATAGTTATTTGAATCCATCTCATAGAACAGTGAAATGCAAGTATTCATTTTCTAAGTCATCTAAGTCATCACCATGCATCAATCCAAATGACATTTTAGCAGTAATCAATACTTTTGGAACAGATGTTCATTTCTTATCAGATCATATCATGAAATAGAAGACCAATGACTATTCCAAACTTATTAGTGGATATCGAAAGTAAATCTTTATATTACATAAATGTAGTCGTCTCTCAGATTCTACTAAATAAAAATTTAAATTGATGTTCAATAAATAAATAAACAATCCAATCATATATTAGTAGCATTTAACACATTGTTATATTCATCTTTATGAAAACACAAATTTCTATTTATTATTAATTGTATTACAATCTAAATATGTGATTGTTGATTCAATTACTCAAAAGAATACAGGAATCCATATTTAAGGATGGTTAAATTACCCTACATAATTGACTGGAATTCAATTTGTTGATGGAGATTAATATTATGAATTATAAGACTCAGATACTAAATAAAAGTAAATCACTATAGAAAATCAAAATATTTGGTTATTCGACTTATTTATTGATAATTCAAGTACTTAAATACTTCCTTTGATATCTCATAAATTTGGAGATATACCTATAGTCTAATTCTTTTGTGAATAATAAGTTGGAGAAGTCTAACTTAAAGAATAGAAATCATTATAATCTCCATCTCATCCAATTCTTAAACAATTACATTTACTCTCTTCTAGAGACCCACTCCAACCAATTAAATCAAATCTATAAAATAAAATTGAATAACTTAAAGGCTAAAAATTTACAGGATTTGAATAAGAACATCATCCAAAGGTACCTCATACTACATCAAAAAATTTATAATTGTTTCGAATTGAAGAAAATCAATACGAATAATCTAGTGCAAAGCCTGATGATTTGGATTTATACACTAAAAATTTAGAATCTAAATATCTAAATGCCCCTAAATTTCCTTGTTTAATTGATGGATTAATTAGTTCAGAATCATAAATGCTAGAAAAAAGTCAGAATCCATATGTTCCTTTAACTCATAAGGAATAGTCTACACTCTCAGAAATCAGACATTAGACTGTAAATACTTAAGATTCTGCTATAAATGAACATTTAAGTAATATGTTGGATCAGAAATAATTACAAAATATATATTAAGATTTATGTAGAGAGGTTGAAAAGCCTTAGAATAATTTGTAGTAGAGTTAATAAATATTTCAACCTTATAATGTTGAATCTCTTTATTTTGGTAATTCTTAATAGCATTCTAATCGTAATTATGAATCATAAGACTTATTTTTACAATAATAATAATAATAATAATAATAAAATTAATTTTATAATTAGTAATAATAATAATAATAATAATAATAATAATAATAATAATAATAATAATAATAATAATAATAAACATTTAATTAAGATTATTCATAATAATAATAATAATCTTATTAATACTAATAATAATAATATTTATAATAGTAATAATAATAATAATAATTTTATTATGAATAACAATAGTAATAGTTATTATAATAATAATACTAATAACAATTATATTAATAATAATAACTTCAATATTAAATGATGTTATATCATTAATAATTGTAATAATATCCAAATAATTTATAAATATAATAACCTGAAGAACAATATTATTTTGAAGAACCTTAATTAGAATCTCCACCTAAAAAGTGGTCTTTTAGTCCTCAAAAACAAGATGAATCAATTGCAATCAAGAAAAGAACCTCAAATCCTGAGCCTTAAAATAAAACATCTTACCGATATTCAATAAGATAATCAATCAAACAATAAAAGAAATCAGAATTCTAATTGTCAAATACTTAAAAAATATTATAGAAAGAAGGGGCATAAATAAAAGATAATGAAATTCCATTCAAATGTAAACTCAAGATTAATTCAATACATCCTTATGATTTTGTTGATTTAAGATCAAATAGAGCATAAAAAAAGATGAAAGAAATAGAATAAGGTTTATTAAGTTAATCTATTAGATGTAAATAATTTTATTATTATTAGATCACAAAGATCATAATTTTAATGCATTATATCGTAATGAGAAATTCTCAGATATTGTTCTAATAGTTAATGATCATTAATATAAATCTCATAAATCAGTATTGATTTAGGTTTCTAATTATTTTAAAGAATTATTAGAAACTAAATAATTTGAATTAAATTTGTAGGTTGATAATTTATAATTATTTGATATGGTTTATAAATACATATATTTAGGTAAACTGACAGATTCAGAATGGAATGAAGTAGGAATTCATTAATCAATTAAATTTTATAGATTGGCAGAAAAATTAGAGTTATATTAATTAATTGAATAATTAATAAGTAGAGTTGTAATACCTATGATGATAAATGAATTTGTACTAGATTGGTACATTATAGGTTTTAGGAATTAAAATTCTCATCTTTCTTACATTTTTAAATTTGTTTATGTTTATACAGTAACATATTTTTCATTAAATTGCAAAACTATAATTGATTTAATTAGAGGTAGATAAGATGATTCAATTATTAAAGATTAATAGATGTAAAATAAATATAAGAAAATATTTGATTTGATGACACCAGAAGAAATATATTTTCTTGTTTAATAACCTTTAATGTAGACTGATTTTGAAGGAGTTGATAATTTATTATGGTTAATAACAGAGAAGAAACAATGTTAATAAATAGATTTACTAAAACAATTATCAATGGATCATTTATCTAATTGTGGATTTAAATACAAAGATTTCACTAATTATTAATTTGAATAGAATTTGCCTCTATTAAATAATCAAATTATTATATATCCTTAAAGACTTCAAGAGACTAAAAAAAGGAGAAGTTCTATATATACTGATTAAGAATTTCATTATTCTGAATCATTATTTGATGAATATTCATTTTATTAATAAAACTCTAATACTTGTAAAATTAACAAGTTGGTTTATGAAATGAAAATTAGTAATGTAGTAGGTAATTCAATTGTAATTTCTGAATGTTTTGCTTCATAAAGTCTTGCTTGGAGATTGATTATTGATATTAATGATAAGAATATCATATCAATTTATTTATAAGAAAGGGGATCAATTAAAAATAATCTAAAATATATGAATCTTGAAGATAACTTAATGGATGAATCATTACCTTAATATACAAAATTAAATTTTATTAGTGTTTTAGTTAAAATTTCAATACTTAATAAATAAGAATAAAGCAATGAGAGAGTTATGTATCATACATATCCAACAAATTAATTCCACACAGTAGGATTTGAAGATATTTAGACTGTAGGTTCTTCTTTATGGTTAAAGGTATATATATAAGAAGATCCTCTTCATTCTGCTTTAATGCATTGGTGTGGATATAATTTTAATGATAAGTTCTGTTAATTACCCTATTTTACATTATATTCATTATTAAAATCAGATATGTTGAGAATAAGTGAAGAAAAATAAATATTAGGATTATTGTACAATTTATAAAAATCTGAATAAGAATAAAATCTTGATCTTGTTATTCATCCAATCAGATATTTTTATGTACCAATAGGAGAAATCTTTACATTATCTAAAGATTGTTAGACAGTTCGAAAGAATAAGTTATTCTAAAGCATTTTAAATTTATTATTATCTCATTATTTGGATGGGAAATAACATAATTAGAAACCTAGAAAGACTTATGCAAAAATAGATATATTAATAAATCAATCAGATTTTAAGAAAGAATGGTTAAAATGGTTAATATATAGTGATAATAAAACATTGAAAATTAATACAAATGATATAAAAAAAGAGGTAATAGAGAAATAAAAGAAAATTGAAAGATAATAATACTAATAATACTTTTAAGTTTATAATTACACACCAAAAAAATAATTAGAGTAATAATAACAATAATCACCTAAATGTAATATATTTTGAAAAAGTTTCTTTGTTTTTTTAAATTAATTTTAATAATTATTATATCTATTATTATATAAAATAAAAATTAACAATCAACAAGCATGAAATCTAGCTAAATATTATAAGAAATGTCGACCTAATTTAGTAATTGAATTTAAATACCAAATTAAGTGAATTAGTGTTCTTCATATTTAGAGAGTTGAATTTAAATTTATTCTTTTTATTTTTCATTACATTTCAAATAGAAATTTTACATAACATAATTTCCAAAAGAATTATTAATTAATATCAGTAACATAGGTGGAATTGTTTGATTCATAAGAATTTTACATATGCTAGCAATATCATCATCTTAAGCCAATGTAATATACCTTTGGGCAACGTTACTACATTTGAATTAATATTATTACCTGCCATATTTATCTTAACTGACTTCTATTATTCTTTATTTGATAAACTTTCCAATTACTTCAAATCCTTTTGGAGGTCCTTAATTTATCATATGTTAAACAATATAATTCCCATATTAACAAAAGGATAATCTTTCACATAATGGAATTAAGGATATATAAAGTTCCTATAATTTATCATTTGGAAATATTTCTAAACATTTTTATGCTATTCTACATCCATAAGGATGAGATACAACCTTTTCTACATTATTCTTGACTAAATCTATAATAAATTCAGCATCAGTAACTAAATCTATTATTTTTTAGATAACATGATTTCCACACTAATCAAATATTAATTTTAAAGCATAAGGTTTAAGTTAGGATATAAGTTATACTTTTTGTTAATTTAGAATAAATTCTAATAATTTTTATACAACTCTACAACCAAATTTGTCTTAAGACATTTCCAATACATGAGAGTTCAACTATTCGAAAATAAGTGTTCTAGTATTTTAATTACTATTTTCAATTATTTTTTAGATGACATAATTTCCAAATTTATGTTTTGATAGTAAAAGTAAATCATCAACTAATCCTTTAAATATTTTTTCTCTTTAATATTCATTTCCTTAAATGAATGATTATTAAATGATTAAAGAGGCATATTGATCTTGACATTATTGTGACTAAGGTAGTTTAATTAAATAATTTTACTATTGATGAATCAATCTCTGTTTATAATTGTAATTTTTTTGTTCTTTTTTAAGAGAAATAGCCATCTTAACAAGGATAGTATATTGGTTGTTAAGGTAACATGTATGAATGGAATTCATGACTTAAAGAATGTTATCGTTATTGAATAAATGTAGGCTACACTGTAATATAAAAGTTGCTTGGATCAGCAGAGGGGAATTCTTAATAACTAATTGAATATTTGTAATAATACGTTGGATCTTCATTTAAAACTGGGCTCTCTTTTAAATCTTTAATACTTTTAACAGGCTAAAGGTATTTATAAAGAACATTATTTTTACAGATTATGAATGTTACTGGGATTTGGTAATGGAAGATCGAAATTCTGAGCATTCTGATTCATTATCTATAGAATTTAGTATATTGATTACCATCAAGAAGGGAACCTATCATATCTTTTTCTGATTGCTCAGTCTCTTGCATGGAATAATGTTTAATAAACACAAAAAAATTATAATCATTTCGTCAGTATTATTTGGCTTTAGATGAGTTAAAGAATTATCTAATCATACAGTCAAATTTAGTTTAAAGTAATTTCTATTTTGGAAGAGGCTTAAGTTATTTAATAAAGCTTCTTTTATTTTTTTAAGGAGATTTTGTGACTAATAATCTGTCAGAAGTGGAAGACTGAAATGATTAAATCGCTTTTCTATCAGTTAATAATCGATTGATTGTTTTGTTTGAACGCATAACTTATTGCTTCATATTTTATAGAAAGCAATTTGAAGTTGGAACATATTTATATGATTTATAAGGAGCAATTTAAGGTTGCTCAGTCTTTAAACGTTCTTTTTCAGGTGTATGAGTCTTTGTTGGTGATGTTGGAAGATGCATACTTTCTTCCAGATCGGGTTAAGAACGTAGTATAAATAGTGGATTTTTGGCATATATTCGAAAGTTTCTTTTTTTATGATCATTTCTCATATATCGTCTTGCTCCTTCTAATTTACTTAGAAAGACTTCAGCTAATCTTTCTTATTTGTGGTAGGCTATTTCACATAATTAATTAGGTAGACGATCTTCTTTTGGAGCAGTAGTCCCACACTATTCACAAACACAGCTCTTACGACGAACTTGAGTTGAATCCAATTTGGGTCCATCAAGGTACTTTATTGATAGATGTTGTCTACTATGCATATTATTATATATTAAATTTATGGATTAAAACAAAGAAGTATTATATAGGTGTTTGTATATTGTCTTATGGTAATGTAAAGATTTTTAAGTTCATAGATAATATAAGTATTAAAAATGTTTGATTTTAAGTTATAGTTTAAATTTATGATTAGATAAGTTAATCAAAAAAAGTATAATGAATTTGTATAATATATATACATTTATCCTATTTTGATTGAAGAGTTTATTCTAATAAAAGTATTTACAATAAAATTGATTATAGTATAAAATTATGAGTTGACAATTATTAATAATTATAATAACAAATTAGGAATTTAATCTAGAAGGGGAATTAGTGTAATAAGATGAATATAATAATTTATAAAGATTGTTATAAATAATGTATTGATGATATATCAAACATTATTTTATATATTTAAATAATGAGTTAATTGGTTTCTTGTAGCAAAAGCATTCTCATACATGATTAATCTATGGACCCTATTTTAAGAATAAACCCACATAAATCTAGCATTAATTGTTGCATTTGGAATCACAATAGTATTTGAAATTTTAAATTTAATAGGTTGTGTTATTGCGAGTTGTGGAAATGATGGAGTTATAGTTTTAAGTAGAGCTACAGATGGTGAATCCTTATTACCTTTGGAACATAATGGAAAGGCTATTAATGCAATTTCATTTACATCAAATAGTTAATATTTAGCAAGTGGAGGTCATGATTCAATTGTGCGGGTATGGGATTTGAAAAAGAAATCTATTCAAAGTCATCTAAAAGGACATTATTCTTAAATTAATTCATTACATTGGAATTCTGCAGACACACTTATTGCAAGTGCCTCTAATGTAGGTGATATTCTTGTTCATGATGTAAATACACAGATTGCAGTATCTACTTTCAATTTAAAAGGATCAAAAACACCTGGATTTAAGGCAGTTAAATTTATGAGCAAAAATCTCTTATGTTCAGGTAGTAATGATGGATCTGTGACAATCTTTGATCTAAATAAGAATGAATATTAATGCAATTTCTCATCTTAACATACTAGCAAAGTTACAGGACTAGGTGTTACTTAATCATTAGTATGTAGTGTTGGAACTGATCAAAAATGTTATCTTTATAGTATTGTTGATAAAAAGGTTACACATACAATAGCTTGTGAAAATCCATTGAATTCTGTTGCTATATAAAATGATGATTATTCTGTTACTGTGGGTACTCTGTATGGATAAATATATGTTTATGATATAAGAATGACTTAGAAACCTAAATTGTAGTTTAGAGGACATGACAACTCTAGTGTTAACTATATGGAATATTAAAATATTGAATCATAATCTCAATAACCTCCTCCATCATAAAGATTATTAAATGATAGCAATTTGAGTGTTTAATCATAATTAAAACCTAATCAAACCAAATCTCCATTGATATTAGAAATAAAGAAAGATAGTACTAAAGATTTGAGTACTTTAAGTAATAAAGAATCAATGATTAAAATTGAATAATAAAAGCAAATGTAATATGATTAATGTAAACTAAATCCAATTTATTTAGGTAATAGTTCAATCTCGTGTGTAATCAAGTTAGTAATCTAAATTTGATTAATCTACTAGTAAAATTGAGGATATTTCTAGAAAATATGAAGTTAGTAGAGTAATTGGAGGATAAAATGAGTATTTATTTTTTTTATTATTATCTTTAGCTTTACTGATGAGTAAAAAAAATATATTCAACAATAGATTAATGATTAAACATATCAATTAAAAAAGATTGTTTAAGATAGTGTTAGTTCTATGCATGTTGATATGATTAGATAATTTTAAATTTAACAAAATGAAATGTAATAACTCTTGGATCAATATATGAAAGAACAAAGTAATCTAGTTTAGAGAATCTCATAATTAGAATAAGAGAATCAGTAATTAAAAAGATAATCGTATTGAAATAAATTAATAATTTATGTTATAAGTTTATCTTGTTAGATATGATTGTTTTAAAATTCAATAACTCATTCCAAATAGAATCTTTTGCATTCTATTTTATACTATATGTGTTATTGATTTAATACTACTTCTATTTTCATGTTCCTTTTTTATTTTACCATACTAATAACAAGACATTGAATAGCAATTTATAATTGAAAAAGTAATTTGTAACTATTTTATTTAGTAAACTACTGATTGGAACCTTAATTTATATTAAACAGAATTTAGACAATATCCTATCATAGGAAAACTCAATAATTAACAATTTCCTTTTGAAATAAATCATTATCATAATACTCTCAATAACAACACTTCAACGTACTTCTAGAAAACTAATTTTCATGAATATTTTGGCTATATAGATTATTAATTAGCTAATTTGATGCTACCTAAAGTTCATTGCCTCTTATTTTAGATTTCAAAACGATAAACTTAAAAAATTATAAAAAATTTGCCGCAATGTAATAAATCAATTGGCATACCTATCACTCCTTGGTTTTGGAAGGGTGACTAAATATATTATTTGACTGAAATATGTTTCAAAATCTCTATCAAAGGAGATAAATTATATTTTGAAGGAGGGTGTTTTAAAGATGGCTTCATTTATAAAAAACTATCAACTCATGAAACAATAAATTTTGAAAATTTATCATTGTACCTTACACATGTTGATGATCTATACATCAATGGACTTACATTTTCTGGAAAAACCCAAATATCACTTATACCATCATTATATTTAACTTTAATATATTATTCCTTCTTATTTGGCTTTTCAGGTACCATATACATGATATTAATTTATTTTATTTTATCAATAAGAAAAAGGAGTGAAAATTAATATGTATGATAATCACTAATATATATATTAAATAATTATTGTCCATTTAGCATATATATTAAAATAGATGTTATTTTCAATATGAAATGCTTAGGATGATTAAGATAGAGGCTGTTGATATTACATCTAACTTAAAAGAATTTTATTGAATAAATGTGAAGGAAAGAATAAATATATATTAGTTTATTTGGAAATAGCATATATACAAGAAGAAGAAAACTATTATATGTGAATAAGATAGAGAAGTATTAAAATTTATGGAAAAAATGATAAAATGAGAATGGTTTAAATTTGAATATTATTGTATATAACTATATATAATCAGTTATTAATTAATTGACTAGTTAATTAAGATATTTTGGAAAAGGGGGTGGATTTTATGATTCAAAGCTGTGAAGAAATTCAAATTTCAAACATTAAAAAAAACAAAATCCTTTTTCGTAACCGTCACAATGAGAGAAATCGTTCATATTCAAGGAGGACAATGTGGTAATCAAATTGGTGCCAAATTCTGGGAAGTCATTTCAGACGAACATGGTATTGACCCAACAGGAACATATCACGGAGATTCTGATCTTTAATTGGAAAGAATTAACGTTTATTACAACGAAGCAACAGGAGGAAGATATGTCCCAAGAGCTATTCTTATGGATTTGGAACCAGGTATCTTATAAAATTAATGAATTTTAGGAACTATGGACTCTGTCAGAGCTGGACCATTCGGACAATTATTCAGACCAGATAACTTTGTTTTCGGACAAACAGGAGCTGGTAACAACTGGGCCAAGGGTCACTATACCGAAGGTGCAGAATTGATTGACTCAGTCTTGGATGTAGTTAGAAAAGAAGCTGAAGGATGTGATTGCTTATAAGGATTCTAAATCACTCACTCATTGGGAGGAGGTACCGGATCAGGAATGGGAACCTTGTTGATCTCAAAGGTTAGAGAAGAATATCCAGACAGAATCATGGAAACATTCTCAGTTGTGCCATCACCAAAAGTGTCTGACACAGTCGTTGAACCATACAACGCCACCCTTTCAGTCCATTAATTGGTCGAGAATGCTGATGAATGCATGGTCATTGATAACGAAGCCTTATATGATATTTGTTTCAGAACATTGAAATTGACAACCCCAACCTATGGTGATTTGAATCACTTGGTCTCAGCTGCTATGTCAGGAGTTACATGCTGTCTTAGATTCCCAGGTCAATTGAACTCTGACTTGAGAAAATTGGCTGTTAACTTGATTCCATTCCCAAGACTCCATTTCTTCATGATTGGTTTTGCCCCACTCACATCAAGAGGATCATAACAATACAGAGCTCTTACAGTCCCTGAATTGACATAATAAATGTTCGATGCCAAGAATATGATGTGTGCCGCTGATCCAAGACACGGAAGATATTTAACAGCATCTGCTCTCTTCAGAGGAAGAATGTCAACCAAAGAAGTCGACGAATAAATGCTTAATGTTTAAAATAAGAACTCATCTTATTTCGTTGAATGGATTCCCAACAACATTAAATCATCCATCTGTGATATCCCACCAAAGGGTTTGAAGATGGCTGTTACCTTTGTTGGTAACTCAACTGCTATCTAAGAAATGTTCAAGAGAGTTGCTGAATAATTCACAGCCATGTTTAGAAGAAAGGCCTTCTTACATTGGTACACTGGTGAAGGTATCTACTTAATTTTAATCTATTCTAGGTATGGACGAAATGGAATTCACTGAAGCTGAATCTAACATGAACGACTTAGTCTCTGAATATCAATAATATCAAGATGCCACTGCTGAAGAAGAAGGAGAATTTGAAGAAGAAGGAGAATAATGATAATCTAAGTGATTTTTATCACAAAATATATAAAATCAACAACCATCAT